AAAGCTCGCACATCTGGCACATCTAGGATCCATGCAGCTGTGGGGAGGGGGGGGGGGGGCATGAAGATTCAGCGTCACAAGTTGTTTCAAAATGATTCCTCCAGTGGTCGTTTCACAGGCCGTGCTGTCACCGAGCCGCGCCTGACTTCAAATTAGCTTCAAACGTAGCCATGCATCAAGAACTTCCGAAAGAAGCACTGGAAGAAATGAGGGCATAGTACGAAGAAGTACGTAGCATGTAGAGAGTCACACCCGAAGATCACAAAAGTCAAGGCTACAGCAATCAAGGCACCGAGAATCGAACAGAAAGTGACGGTTTGGCAAGAAGCTTGTGCATGTTGAGCTAAGTTTTCCACTGCGGCTAAACCTGGATCCGTTTACGCAACATCGGTCCACAGGTGCTTTTCTTGTTGTAGATCTTAGCGGATTACAGGTAATGAGCAGGTTTTGAGTACAGTGCATTCGGGAGTTCGGACGCCTCCATGGCAGTTTAAGTGTCGATGAATCAAATCTGTTGGCCTTTGTCACTCGAGTCAAATTCACGGATTGCTGCATAAGATGTACCTGCAGCCCAACACCTGAGGTGAGTGGGTGTGGGATCATTTTCCTGCTTACTCCACCCCTTGAGGGCAGGGTCAAAGCATTGATTTCAAGACGTTTCTGCTCTGCCCTAGCGGATGCCAGGGCCTGTTGGCCCGTGTACATTTACATCTGTTTCAGGGCGCCGCCTGTTTGAGCACGCAGGTCTCCAAGCGGAAACATCCAAGACTCAGAGGGGTGCGGCTGGACACCTACAAAGCAACGGCCTTGCCTTGGCAGGTCCACAATCGCATGCTCCAGTTGGGCGATTCGGCACGGGGTCGCTTGGGCTATGGCCAGCACAGGCTAGACATCACGCTGTGCGGGCGGTCCTCTTTCAATCCTGCAGCTTTTCTTGTCACTCTAGTAAACGGTCCAAAGCAAAGCAAGCAAAAGTAAATGTACCATATTGCAACCCTTCAGAGTGTGGCGTCCAGACTGCTTCAGTCGTTCACGCAAGAACTGCATCCAATGCCTGCATGTTTTCCTGAAGCAATGTAGGAAGTCCAACGTCATGCGCCCGTGCAGTGGCGCCTGCAATTTCCAGTTGGTACCAAGGGTGCTGCCTTGGTGATGCTATCGTATGCTGCAGGCTGGTCTTTGTCGGATCGGATGGCCCTGCGCTCAGACGGGCTGCAATTGCCATGGATAGCATGAGCACTGCAGCTTGGCAGTCTGACTGTTGAGTCTGACGGAAAGGCGCGGGAGCCAGCATCTTGGGACCTAGATAGCCCCTACATTTCATAAAGCCAGACAAGTTGACATGTCATGACATGTCCACGTCAGCCAGAATGGATCAAGCAGTGCGACATGCCTCGGAACCCATGCGGGCATGCTGTCCGCATGGGTTCTGGTCGCCGTGTTCTGGAGCCCCTGCCGCGCTGATGCTTGCGACTGGCAACGGGAGTTCGGTGGAAGCTCGGCACAAGCATGATGGTCGCCAGAAGCCTAAGCGCTGCCACATGATCGACATGAAAAGTGCGTGCCCGATGCACCAGGTATATACACGATCGTGAACGAAGCTAGCGGGCGCCGATTGATCGCAGATGACAGAGGTTTCTTCACAACCTCGGAGGCACAGGCTTTTAGACCCCCCAAGCAATTATTAGCCAGTGAACATCAAAACCTCGTATGCAGCCGTTTGGTTTTGCGACTCGTGTTAGCTGGATCCCCCACCTGAGTCTTTGTGCTTGATTGGCAAGCATCCTGGTCAGGTGAGCGTGAGCAGCAGCAGCATGTGGCACGTCCTGCCTGATGCGAATGCCACGCATGTGCTTCGGAATGCGGCCACCGGGGCCTTCCGACAGAACAGCACCAGCTGCCCCCATGTGCATGCTTGGCTTGTGACTTCTTTGTTGGCCAGACATGGAGGGCATTTCCAAAGGCTTGAGGTCCCAGGCGGAGGCAAACTTGACATTACGATTTTTCATCAACGCTGCAGCTTCAACGGGGACATGCACCTGAGGCTCGCATCTACGCGCAGCTCGGTGCAGATCGCGAGCACGGCTTCTTTGTTTTGGACGGAGAGACGCCTGTCTTCCGCGATCAGAGGTGGCTTGGGCTACAAAGGGCGCCCACCGAGGGTAAATTCAGTTAAGATCCCCGACTTCAAAATATGTCTTCTCAGCAGGCTTTGAGACGTTGTAGTGAGCTGTTTGCAGCCACATGAATTCCTGTTGTGACATGTGTGGGCGCGCAGACATGTGTTGACGGAAAGTGCCCTCAGCATTTTTGAAATTATGGAATGCAAAAGCAAAAGCACAGGTCTCCTCAAAGTGCGCTCAGGCTGGCGTAGAAGCCGAAGCCCGACATGAACGCCGAATAGCTCAAGTGACAAGCGCAAACCGGCACAAAAGATGATTAGCAAAAGCACAGCATGTCGTTACGTGGCCCAGATGCGGAGATTGATAGCATGCCTCGCGTGAGAACCTTTGGAATTGAACAGAATTGGCGCAGGTGGCTCATTGATTGCAGAGGCAGCTCCGGGGGATGTGCAATCAAGAACATGAAGTCTTTGCGAGCCTCGGCATGTAATATTTGACAGGGTTAAGCTGGAAGCAACACCGTACACATCTTTCGAAACATTCCTGAAACAAGCAGATCCCCGACAGCATCCAAGCAACTGATGAATTCCAGCCTGTTGGCTCCAAACACTTGATTGTGCGACATCAGGTGCAATTGCCCGATTCATTAGTTCTGTTTCCCTGCGGTGAGGAAATATCATCGATGGCCCCAGCGGCCTCATGGCAACCCCCGCGCTGCCTGATTCTGCTGGGGCAATTTGGTGGCGACATGGCTTTCTTAGCTGATTCAGACATGCAAGCAAACCACATCCCCCACCAGAACAAACCAGCTCTTCATGAATCTGTTGGGATGGACGACAGACTGCTTCATTGAGGTCTCATGGTCTTGCTGTTTCACCTGTTTGCACCAAATTGTCAGGTCGCCTTTACTTTGCATGTGGTCTGGCATGAGGACCCCAAGAGAAAGTTGCATGTCCTTGCAAGGTTCCTGCGCCAAGACAGAGATGAGCTTAGCCTGCGCCCAAGGTCCAACCTCTGACAGGTAGCAGGCCATAGTAAAACTTCAGAAAGGCTTGAGCAAAAGCAAGAATACCGAACACAAGTGAGTATGAGTAAAAACCATTGCCGCCAGGAATTCATACGATGTCTACTTGACAGTTCCATGCACTGTAAGGCCAGCACATTGCTCACGTCTGCATGGTTCTCGAGGAGGACAAGGCGGCATGGCTAACAGAAGCTTTACGCCGCATTGCGTGCAAGGATGTTGGGCAGGGCCTGTGAATTTTGTTGTCTTCCCGAGTTCTTACTGTCTTCATTCTTCTGCTGAAGCTTTGGTCAATCGGCACGTGGTCGTTTTCAGCAACTTCAGGCGGTAAGACGCAAATGTTGGGATCCAAGCGCACAGGCGAAGTCCATGGAGATCTTGAAGCTGCAGTCACAGCTCAAGGAAACTAGCGCGAGGCTTCTGGAATCCATGGTGGCCGAAGTCTTCGGAAGCTGTTGAACTGTTGTGCAACCAGTCTGCTGCGTACACAGCTTTCTCTGGGGCAGCGCCAGATTCCTCACAGAAAGCAACACTGTGCAGGCTGCATGAAGCAGAGCAACGCGCTGAGCAGCTTCTTGGTTTTAGGGAACAGCCTTGTTGGGGCTTCAGCGTTCGCCCCATCGCTGCTTAATCCTTGTGTTGGGTCAGCATTTGTCCTTGACTTGCCTTGCGCATGCTTCTTAGCTTCCTTTCACCTACAGGGCAGTTTTTGTGTTGCATGTCAAGACAAATCTTTGGCCGCCGGTGCAGATATGAGCCAAAAAATCGCAGCACAAAGCTTGTATCCACTGGAACTACAAGAGCTGCAGTGCAGAGCGCTCGGGCCTGCCCGAGGTTGTCCAACACTGGAGGCTAAATCTTGAGCAGCCATGATCGCTCTGTATCATCGTAATCGTCACCACCACCATCACCGGAATCAGTCTTCAGCAATATCATAATGTGGAGGCCGTCCTAAAAGCCTTGTTTACATTTTATATAAAGCGGGAACATGTCATAAGCAAAATCAGGGTTTTTCTGTGGTCGCGGAACATCCGCGAAAGCGCGGCGAAAGGGCCAGCGAAACGGTAACTATTCAGGTGTTGTGGGCAGGGATTGGCTCCTTGCCGGCTTGCATTGTTTTCTATCTGATCTCATGTATCTTCATCTTCACAATCTTACTTGAAGTTGCATGGGGAAGAACATGTTTTCAGAACAAGTTTCGTCAGATGAAGTTGTTGTCGGTTTTCCTTGGGCCGCTAAAGAACGCGAGAGGTCCGCAAAAGGCACGGCGAGAGGGTGGTTTTCAGGTAAAGGAATATTGGACAACCCCCAAGTAAGAGAAAGAACAACGGTGCCAGCGGGAAGGAGCATAGCTGGTCAATGTCTTCAGTAGAAGATGACCATTCAGCTGCACCATGAGGCTCCGGCAGCCTCACCTTCAGGTCCTCCTCACAGAATCTTGTCTGCGATCATGTAGCTTTGGCATTTGGATCGAGAAGCGGCACTTGCCACTCCAAAGCCGCTTGAAAATGCTCAAGTTGCCAGGTCATGCTCGCACTTCTCTGCGCTGCTGGCTTTGCAGCTTGCCGTGCAGCTGCTACAAGGCCGCCGCCACCTGGGATTAGCTCAACTTCATGACAGGCACCCGGACAGCTTCACTTCAACAGGTACCTTAGATGACAAGCAGGCTTTCAAACCTTGCAAGGCCTCATTGGGCCTTTGCTTGCCCTTTTGACTTCTAGTGGTCGAGCTTCCCCTCTAACTCGCTGAGCCCATCTCTAAATCTTCCAGCTGGCAGGACATTCTTATGGAGGCATGCAGACTTTCATTGCCAGATGGTCGAGATGCAAGTCCCTACACTGCATGGAATAGATTGCTCAGCTAAGGTTGAACTGTCGGCCTCAAATCGTTTTTGTCTTGCAAGGGACGCAGGAACCTGAAAACCCAGCTGCCTGCAAGGCTGATGGGGTGCCCGCACGTCTTGTGCGGATTTGGTGCCCCGGCGTGCGCCATCAGGAC